GGCGGTGGTGAGAACACCCAGGGACACGACAACTGGTCGTAATGACTGTAATACAATAAACTCTTCATTAATGTTTATGGTGTGAACTTCATCATTTGCTTATGGTAGGGATTAGAAGAACCAAGTATCACCTTAACCATACCTCATCAAAAGGCAGTCTTCCTATGAATTTCCTGTGAAGAAAGGGACACAGTGACAAGTGCAAGCAGGTAGAGGAGGCAAGTTGTGATAGCATTCTATACAAAGTTTAATAAGCACCCTGAATAAAACTCTACCCAACCCTCCTGCATTAAATGACTGTAATTCACAGCCATAATTAATTAAAGGATTAATAAAAAAGAATGAGCCATAATTCTCATAGAGCAAAGAGTAGTATTCTCTCCTAGATATGCACATTTTTTTTACCATTTTTTCACTTAAAAAAAATTTAACATGGAAAAGCAAAACAAGTAAGATTCATGAACTCACTGTCACAATTACCAAATGATAACATTTTATTATATTTGCTCCAGATTTTCAAAATACAGTATTACAGATACAGATGAAATCTCCTTTGTACCCCTCCCCAAGTCCACCCCTTCCTTTTCTTCCCAAGCAACCCATCTCATGAATTGAGTGTAGATCTTTCTACTCATGTTTATACGTCTACACTGTGTCGTACATTCATAAGCCAAATACAGTATTGTTTTTAAAATTTGTATTAAGAATATGTCACATTGTATGCATCGCTCTGCTTATTTTTTTCACCTAACATTGTGTTTTAGAAATTCATCCATATAATTGTATATAAACCTAGTTCATTCATTTTAGCCATTGTAGTCTATCAAATTTATGCCACATTTTATCCAGTCCCTTTTTGAAAGTCATCAAGGTGGTCTCTAATTTTTGTTATTACAAACAGTGCTGCAATAAACATCCTATGCATATTTTCTTATGTACAAGTCCAAGAGATAATGTAGGATGTGCACCTAGGAGTTCAATGTTGGGTTTTAATTTAACTAGACAGTGCCAAATTGTTCTCTAAATGGGATAGTTCCTATTTCTTCTCATTTTCATCACACTTATATTGTTAGACTGTTTAATGTTTGCTAAAATAAGTGTGAAATGGTATTTCATAGTCATTTTAATATGCCTGGCCCAGATGACCACTGAAGTTAAACATCTTTTTATGTGTTGACTCTCTTAGTTTCCTCTTTGGCAAAATTCCTATCAATCATTCCATTTCTAAAATGCAATGAAAGGATATTTTTTGTATGGATAATATTAATGCACTGGTAATTCTAGGGTTTGAAAAATAAGTTGGGTTTATTAAGAGTTTACATTAAAAAAATGCATTCTAGAACACCAGAATAGTGTACCTTAAGATGAGTTTCGCAGCACAGCATCACAATTTTGCTGGTGAAACTCATGTTTGCTACAGGTTACATATTCCTGGTAGTAAATGGATGCTTTAATTCTTTTTTTTTTTTGATACACAGTCTCACTTTGTTGCCCAGGCTAGAGTGCCATGGCCTGAGCCTTGTTCACAGCAACCTCAAACTCCTGGGCTTAAGCCATCCTCCTGCCTCAGCCTCCTGAGTAGCTGGGACTACAGGTGTGCACCACCATGCCCAGCTAATTTTTTCTATTTTTAGTTACCTGGCTAATTTCTTTCTATTTTTAGTAGTGATGGGGTCTCACTCTTGCTGAGGCTGGTTTTGAACTCCTAACCTCAAGCGATCCTCCCGCCTCAGACTCCCAGAGTGCTAGGATTTGGATGTTTTAATTCTGTGCAAATTATTCTACAACCTACAATTCATGATCCTGAGAAAAGTGAAGGATCTGGAGCTTCTGGCTTAGAACAAAGAAGTGGGGTCCATTTTTGGTTAGAAGCATTAAGAAACTGCAAATTGCATTCCAATCTTCCTCCTCCAGACAGCCTAGAAAACAATCTCACATACACACACACACACACATACACATACAAAATAGTGATGATGGTGTAAACTTAGAATAATCATCAGAAGAGAGAAACAGTGATAAACTAAATAGGATTATTCACATTTAAATACCACAAATAGCTCTGACCCTAGGGAGGGCAAGCATATTTTGATGGTAAGAATTTTTCTAACTATAAAATTGTAAATCTCATTGCTTATTCATAAGTCAATAATTTTTACATAAGGCAATCTTTTCCTTTAACCTTTTGTTTATATATAATGTCAAAACCACATATAGGCTATTATCAACCACATATTTGCTATTATCAGGGTATCTGCATGTTATCATGCTGAAGAGGTATCTACAAAATCTGCATCTATTCTTTATTTACCTCAAAGTTAACCACTATGGAGATGCCAAAGGTAGTGTTTGCAAAGAATGTGAGGGTAATAAGTCTCCTAGGCAAAGGAAATTGGATAGCGAGGTAACTTTTGATGATATACATGATGGTATCAATAATTCAAGACAACAGTTAACCTAAAGACCTTTAGAGTTGGCTTTTTGGTATGTGGGTTTGTCCTTAGTTTGAACTTAGATGTATCTGAAGTAAAGGGAGTTAAAACCATTTTTAAAATACCATAATAATCCCAGAAGAAGGAATATGTGAAAAGATATGCAAAGTTTTCATCTCCATCCCTCTAGTTTTGGGTCTCTCGGCTGGGGTTAGTCACCATCAAACTGCAGATGGGGAAAAGGTTTCTGTTGAAGCAGAGGCTCCCTCTCTCTGGCAGTGTTGCCGTGCAGTTGGTCTGTACCTTCCTTGGACAATGGCAAGAAAAGTCCTTTGATTTTAAAAGCAGATAAACATTAACCTCTTTCCACTTAACTCTGTGCAAAGGGCTTCTTATTTTTCCCTCTGTTCGGGGAAGCACCCCTCCCCCCAAGAATGATGAAAACATCATGATACAACTATGTAATGGGACTCTCCACTACTCCACAGGCCAGCTCCCCTAGCCCAAAATATCTCCAACAGACTTGTAGCAAGGTCTTTGGGGAGCTCCACTTTCATACCCAGGACATCTCCAGGTGGCTCTACAACCACTGGATCATGTAGCTCAATGGGGTGGTGGAGTCCTCATAAACATGTAGCAGCTGTGAAGCATTCACTTTTGCCTGGACTGGGGCATCTCCTCCATTGGTACAGGCACAGCTACAGGGCACCTCCCCAGCCCACACCTACAAGATAAACAATCAGTCACTCATTCCCAACTTTCCAAAGCCTGATCCTTGCATAGCAAATACTGACCATATGTCAGCCAAGGTTTAGTGAACAGTCAATGTCATGGGCTTGGAACTCTTTTGGTTCCAAACTCTAACCACTTGGGTCAACCATAAACAAAAGTAAATGAGGGAATTCAACAATTCCCGAACCCAGAACACTGGCCTTTTTAGTACCACATTCCACTCAGGACAAACTTACTCTAAGTTGCTGGATCCCTGGCTAGGCAGGTAAGATGATAACACAGGAAGTGGAGGGTAGGGTTAGGGAAGTAGGGAGCTGGAATTGCTTAGAGAGGGAGTAGGGCCCTGGAATTCATGGTTAGAACAGAAAAAGAATTTTCTCAAAGAAACTGTTATAAATAAAGATCAGGCCTCCTGGCTGCAATTCTATTTTCTCTGTATTAAACACTATTTTGTGACTTACCATGAACATTTTTTCTCCCTACGGAAAGTGCTTTTAAAGCTTAAAACATCTGATGTAAAAGCATGAGCCAAAAAAACAGGAAAAAAAAATAGAGCTGAAACAACAAATTGAAAAGCACTTCAGAATATCGCATATTTGTGAACTGAGGACTGTTCCTGCTCTGCTAGAGAAAGAACTGACTCCAGATATCAGTCCACTGTTTCAACCATTTTTTCTGTCTGCTGATGAAATGAATGAAACTTTCCAACATTTAATCAGTAAGTCAACCGCTATTTTCCACCATCTTCCTGTTGAGTCATTGCCTTATGCAAAGTTTAAGCAACATGTGAGCTGGTGGTTATACTTACCACCACCCTGCACTTCCAGCAGAATAACTATCATCACAAGTTAACTCTAAGTTACTTGTTTAACCGTCTCCTGTCCCACCCACCCCACTAGAACCCAAGCTTAATGAGGGCAGGGACTTTGCTTTGTCCACTGCAGCCCGTGTTCGGCACTTCCTAGGCACTCATGAAATGTGTTGACTAAAAGAATGAGTAAAATGCCTGGCTCACAGTGGACACTGATAAAGGATTTGTGAATGAAGTGCCTTTACAATATTGACAGAAACAACTGATTCAAATGAGCCATTTAAGTTGCCGAAGGAGGGCTAACTCTTGCCTGGAAAAGTTGATCTGTAGAGACCGTTAACATACGGAACCCACATTTTTAGGTTGAGGTGAGCAAGTAGGTTCTGAGAATTCTGTACAATGAAGTGATTCCATTTGATAACGACACATTGTAGATAGAACTATGCAGCTTATAAAAGTCTCAACCCAAGGCTAGCTGCAGGGCTTAATGACCCAGCAGAACTTAAACCACAGAGAAATCCTATGCATTGAAAGGCCCTGGAATAGTAAGCCCCCTCAAACCCAGGAAAAGCTGGCAAGTAGACACTCAGAGCAGCAGGCGGTCCTGGATCGACCTTTTGTCTGCAGGTTATCAGGGCTGTCTCAGTGTCCTAGATTCCAAGGTGATAGTGCCACAGGTTAGGGTAACAATTACCTTTCAAATTTGCAGCGTATTTCAGGTAACAACAGCGTATTACAGGTAATGTAATTTTGCATCCTTATTAACATCCGCTGTAGTACCTCTGCCCATACATTCCTTCCCACCACTCAAGGTGGCGGGGTGGGGGAACCTGGCAGAACCAGAGAAGCTCTGAGGCCGACCGGCGACCTTGGCGCTGCCGGGGCCCAGGCCACCGCGCGGCGCCTCGCCCTGCCCGGCCCGGGCGCTCACCACACCTCGGGCGTTTGCAGAGCCTCGGCCCCGGCCCGGCGGTCTGGGAGGCCCTGAGGAGGGAAGTGGGGCTGCCGGGGCGGCGAGGACTCACCTGCAGCAGCACAGCCAGCAGGAAGCACAAGTACATCTGGTAGATGCCCATCTCCCCCACGGCCTGGAACGCCTCCTCCAC